ATAAAAACCACACAGATCCACCATTCTGTTCACACAGGAAATACCCATAACGACAATAATAATAATTATGAAATGCATTTATTCTTTGAAAATATTTCCCTCTGCCCCTGGATATTAAACAAACTAACTACATGCAAAGTTGTGATGAGGAAGGGTATTCTCTCCAAAGTTTTGAAATTCGTGACCCAAAGGTCAGGGGTTCCGGTGTTACGCTGGGGCTATATAAACTGTAAAGTTTATATTCATTAAAGAGGCTGAGGGGTGGCAGCCATTTTCAGACTATTTTGATCTCCTTTAAAAGAAGAGCTCCATATAAAGATATACAAAAATGATCAAATTTTAAAAACTAAAATGTATGAATTTTTTCTTTGCCAAATGATAGTTGACAGCTTATGATACCGTATCTAAAAAAAAAAAAATAAGTTAAAACTGATGGTTAATTTGTTGTCCCCCAGCCTCCTTAATTCTTTAAAAAAATCTTCCTCTCTGCTCCTGGATATTAATTAAACTAACTACATATAGTTATGATAAGCAAGGGAGTGTCTTCCAGAATTATAAATTTCAAGGCCCCTGGCTCATGGGTACCATGTCATTTGTAGACAATACTGTAATTGAATTAATGCTTTGAAATTTGTTCTTTGGTATAAACCAATTTTTTTTATGAACAATGGTCCTTTTTTTCAAAATTGTGAAATGTATGACCTCAGGATGAGGGTTTTTGTGGTCAATGAGCACTACTAATTATTGCTAATTATTACCGCTTATTTGAAATGAAAGTTTTAAGTTTTACAAGATGTTCAAATGACCTATAAGATCCATAGGCCTCTTGTCGTGTTCTTAAGTGAACGTCTAGCATCTCGTTAATATGCATTTTATCTGTACCCACTGGTCCGCCCTTGTTTTCTTTTTAGGTGTCTGTTGGTTAAGACGAGTCTAGAATCGTTGATGCTTTATCTCTCTGCATTCATATAATATTTTTTATGTCTGATTTCTTTAAAAATGTACAACAAAGGGGACCACTGGTCTCCTTATTTATGTACAATACAAGGTGACCTCTGGTCCCCCTTGTGATGTAAAATATAGAGTGACCTAAGGTCCTCATAATGATCTACAACATAGGGTGACCTCTGACCCCCTATTGATGTATAAGGTGACCTCCGTTTCCCCTTATGATGTACAATATAATCTGACGTCTGCTTTTGTACAGTATAAGGTGACCTATGGTCCCCTTTCTGTTGTACAATATAAAGATGACCATAAGTCTCCATAATGAAATAACATATAAGGTGACCTTTGGTCAACTTATTGATGTACAATATTAGTTTACTTCTGGTCCACCCAGTAACGAACGTCAAAACTGAACTGAAGGCTCTGTCCCCCTACTGATGTACAATAAAAGGTGACCTCTGGTCCCCCTACTGTTATCTCCTACTGATGTACAATATAAGGTGTCCTTTCGTCCTCCTAATGTTGTACAATATAAGGTAACCCCTGGCCCCCTACTGTTGTACTATATAAGGTGACCCCTGGTCCCCCTACTTTTGTAAAATATAAGGTGACCCCTGGTCCCCCTACTGATGTTCCCTACTTATGTACAATATGAGGTGACCTCTGTTCCCCCTACTGATGTACATAAAAGGTGTCCTATGGTCCCACTACTGATGTACAATATAAGGTGACCTCTGGTCACCCTACTGGTGTACAAAATAAGAAACCCCTGGTCCCCCTACTGATGAATAATATAAGGTGTCCTCTGGTCCCCCTACTGATGTCCCCAACTTATGAACAATATAAGATGTACCCTGGTCACCCTGCTGTTGTACAATATAAGAAGTCCTATGGTCCCCCTACTGATGTACAATATAAGATGACCCTGGTCCCCCTGCTGATGTATAATATAAGGTGTCCTCTGGTCTCCCTACTGATGTACAATATAAGGTGACCCCTGGTCCCCCTACTCATGTACAATATAAGATGTCCCCAGGTCTCCCTACTGGTGTACAATAAAAGATGTCCCCTGGTTCAACAACTGATGTACAATATAAGGTGTCCTCTGGTCCCCCTACTGATGTACAATATAAGGTGCCCTCTGGTCCCCCTACTGATGTACATAATAAGGTGTCCTCTAGTCCCCCTACTGATGTACAATATAAGGTGACCCCTAGTCCCCCTACCAATGTACGATATATGGTGTCCTCTGGTCCCCCTACTGATATACAATATAAGGTTACCTCTGGTCCCCCTATTGATATACAATATAAGGTGACCTCTAGTCCCCCTACTGATGTCCCCTACTATAAGGTGCCCTCTGGTCCACTTATTGATCTAAAGTGGAATATTAGGTGTCCTCTGGTCCCCCTACTGATGTACAATATAAAGTGTCCTCTGGTCCCCCTACTGATGTAAAATATAAGGTGCCTCTGGTCCCCCTACTGATGTACATTATAAGGTGTCATCTAGTCCCCCTACTGATGTACAATATAAGGTGACCCCTAATCCCCCTACCAATGTACGATATATGGTGTCCTCTGGTCCCCCTACTGATGTACAATATAAGGTTACCTCTGGTCCCCCTATTGATATACAATATAAGGTAACCTCTAGTCCCCCTACTGATGTACAATATAAGGTGCCCTCTGGTCCCCCTAATGATCTAAAGTGTAATATTAGGTGTCCTCTGGTCCCCCTACTGATGTACAATATAAGGTGTCCTCTGGTCCCCCTACTGAAGAACAATATAAGGTGCCCTCTGGTTCCACTACTGATGTACATTATAAGGTGTCCTCTAGTCCCCCTACTGATGTACAATATAAGGTGACCTCTGGTCCCCCTACTGATGAACAATACAGGGTTACCTTTGGTCCCCCTATTGATGTAAAGTGTAATATTAAGTGTCCTCAGGTCCCCTACTGATGTTCAAGGGACCACAGGTCCCCTACTGATGTACAATAAAAGGTGACCTCTGGTCTCCCTACTGATGTACAATTTAATGTGTCCTCTGGTCCCCTACTGATGTACAATATAAGGTGACCTTTGGTCCCCCTACTTATGTACAATATAAGGTGACCTCTGCTCTCCTACTTATGTCCAATATAAGGTGACCTCGGCTCTCCTACTGATGTCCTCTACTGATGTACAGTATAAGGTGACCTCTGGTCCCCCCACTGACGTACAATTAAAGGTGACCTCTGGTCCCCCTACATATGTAGAATTAAAGGTGACCTCTGGTCCCCCTACTGATGTAGAATATGGTGTTCTCTGGCCCTTTTTCTGTTGTCCGCTACTTATGTACAATATATGGTGTCTTCTGGTCCCCCTACATATGTAGAATTCAAAATGCCCTCTAGTCCCCCTACTGATGTACAGTATAAGGTGCCCTCTGGTCCCCCTACTGATGTAAAGTATAAGGTGACCTCTGGTCCTCCTACTGATGTCCCCTTCTGATGTACAGTATAAGGTGACTTCTGGTCAACCTAATGATGTTTTATATAAGGTGACACACTGGTCCTCTTACTGATGTACAATATTAGGTGTCCTCTGGTCCTCCTATTGATATACAAATAAGGTGCCCTCTGGTCCCCCTACTGATGTACATTAAGGTGTCCTCTTGATCCCCTACTGATAAGGTGACACACTGGTCCTCTTACTGATGTACAATATTAGGTGTCCTCTGGTCCTCCTATTGATATACAAATAAGGTGCCCTCTGGTCCCCCTACTGATGTACATTAAGGTGTCCTCTTGATCCCCTACTGATGTACAGTTTAAGGTGACCTCTGGTCCCCCTACTTATGTACGATATCAGTGGCGTAGCATCGTTTTTGAAAGTGGGGGGGCCAGGCAGAGAAAATTTTTTTTTTACTTACCTGAAAAAGTTGACAAGCAAAAAAAAAAAAAAAAAAAAAAAAAAAAAAAAAAATGAAATTTACCCGAAGTCGAAAATCCTATTTGGTGGGGGGGGGGGGGGGGGTTAACTTTTTTTCACTGTCAACTACTTCTAGCACCAATTCTTATACTACATTTTCGGTACATTTCTAAAAGTGAGGGGGGCAAACAGGCTTTGAATTAACATTTCCTATACTGTAAGTAAGGTTGGGAAAAAAAGTGGGGGGGCCAGGCCCCCCCTGGCCCCCCCGGATACTACGCCCCTGGGATATATGGTGTCCTCTGGTCTCCCTACTGATGTACAATATAAGGTGACCTCTGGTCCCCCTCCTGATGTACAATATTACTTGTTCTCTGGTCACCTTACTGTTGCCCCCTACTGATGTGTACTATAACGTTACATGGAATGAAATCATAGGGGAGACCACAGGTCACCTAACGTAATCCATAAATGTTAAAACGCTTTTATATCATATATCGCATAAAATTGCAGTTAATGTTGCTCAGCACCCACCCTCCACCCCCTCTATCTTTTCTAATACCTATCAGATGGTTATTTCTTTTAAAAAGTTGTTTGTTTTACACTTTAAAGGCTTCACAGTATTACAATTTATTCTATTTTCACTTTACGTATGCAACGCACTACATTTTGTAGCGGAGTAAACAGGCCCGATAGTCGTGAACTGAGCAGGGGACCTCAGGGCCTAGTTCAGCGTACGTTTTATCCTTCTGCGGCTGATTCCATTTCCTTCTTCAAACAAGAAAGGGGAAAAGAATAATAACAAATTGTAAAGCCTGCAAGCAATAAAAATCAAATTTTATTTATAATGAAGTTAAAGAGATCTTTTTATTTTTTGCTATACAAAAAATCATGTTATTAGGAATTAATTACTGCTGATTTTGTTGTTCGTTTTGTCATTTTTTTTAAGATTGAAAATCTTGCAAAATTGTTAAGTCGTACGAAAATTAGATCATCAGAAAGTTATCTCCCTTGCCTTGAACAGCATTTTAACCAATGAAATAATTGAAAATTTTCTCATCATGCATTTTCTACCAATCACAAAAGAGAGGAAGTGCATAGTCCGAAGACTGTAAAAAACTTCAACTATACAATACCGTCTTCCAAGGAAGACGGTAATGAGTGGTGGATCAAAGGGATCAGTACTCTGAAGTCGAACGGTTCCCCTACTCTTTGGATGGAGAAGTATATTTGCGGTGAAGAAGCTCCCTCCATTGCTTATGAAGTCCGCGTATGCTTTATACACACCCTCGGTGATCTTCAATATTTTTTAATTGAAAACATGACATAACAGAAATCACTTTTTTGTTTTAAAAGTATACAGTCCTCGATTTGATCAGTCTTTGATTAGTTTTAATTAGTAATGCGAAAATTATTGTCAAACTTTACTTTCAAAGTTATGTAATGATTTTGACTGTGTATATATTTGAAATGTGTGTTTATCTACTTGTGGTTTTAATTTATTTCGACCGGAAGATTTGTTCATCATTATTGTATGTTTAAACTATATTTAAACATGTTGTACATCATTATTTTTACCTTATTTTGAAGTCATTCTGTCATTTCACATGTTTACTTTCATTTTCCATTACTTCCGGTCGCGGGAAATTATGTACAAGTCTTACCTAGAATGTGTCGCGATTTCGCGGTTTATAACGTCACGTTGGGTCGTGCTACGTCACTTAGGGTTAACGTTTAGTTTTAGAAGTCAGTTGGGATTTTTAGATGATAGTAGACGGACGTAAATTTTTTTTTAAGGACTTATTTGGATAGTCAGCCCAGACTTGTGAATTTATATTACCTATTTTAGTCGCTACCAGACTATTTGTGAAATGTCCAGGTAATTTAATTGGAATTTGTGATAAATTATTTATTTATATTTAGGAAATTTCGTATTAGAAATTTACTTTAACTTTATCTGAAATTTGGGGAATCCTTTGAATCTAGCAAGTGACGTTGTACGCGTGTGGCCATATTTTTGAAATATATATTGTTGTTAATTTATTGACTATCATTATTAAATTTTGGAATAACAGAATATAATTTTTGAAAACTTTATTATCTTTGTGTTTATTTATTTAGTAAAAAACCGCTACCAGGTTTATTCATATTTCGCTACCAGAAATTATAAGACAAGATATTAGCCGCGACCAGGCTTATAAATTACAAATACCAATTTGGTAATTAATAATTATTTTATCCTATCTTACGAACTCGTAACGGCGAAAACGTTACATTTTGGTGGCAGCGGTGGGATAGGATAAAATTAATTTGTGCAGGAAAATTTGTTATTCTTGATTTACACTTGCTAGATTCTCCCCAGTGAAATAAAATGGCAGAATCCCGTGGTAGTAATGTGAACCCCAATGACCAGGGTGGGGGTGAACCAAGCCCTGATATGGAAACTAAAGTGAATTCTATGCAGTCCCAGATTTGTGATATTTCTACTGTGTTACAGAAACTTACAGAGACTTTAGATCGTTTGGTTGACAAAGACCATGACATGACAGACTGCAGAAGTGAGTACAGTGACTACAGAACGATTGACAGAGTGAGTGAGCCTGATGACCATAGACATACTCTGCCCAGTGACGCAAACCAGTCACATTTTCGTTCGTTCGATACGCGAACACAGGTACACCCTCATAATGTTTTAGATAGACCATCGGATTTTAATCCGTTCAGACCAAATTATGAAAATCAAAACCAGACTCGACAGACTGTCAGAGCAAAACCCGACACTTATGACGGCAGATCTAGTTGGACAGACTTTATTACTCAGTTTGAAATTGTATGTCGGTTAAATAACTGGTCCAGTGAAATTAAGGCTCTACAGTTAGCAGCTTGTTTGAGAGGCTCAGCCAGAAGTGTTCTGACTGATCTTAGACCCCATCAGCTTGACGATTATTATGAGTTGAAATTTGTTCTCCAAACTCGCTTCGAACCAAAGAATCAAACTGAAATGTACCGCGCAGAAATGAATAGCCGGTATCGGAAAAGAGACGAAAGCCTCCCTGAATTGGCCCAAGATATAAAACGATTAGCCAGACTTGCTTACCCCACAGCCCCGTGTGAAGTTAGGGATACTTTGGCATATAAATGTTTCCGCGATGCCTTACATGACCAAGATATGGAATGGGCAATTTGTCAGAGCGCGTCCGAAAATATTGACGAAGCGTTAAACCTCGCGTTGAAATTTGAAGCTTTCAAATTGAGCAGAAATCGGAAGTACACAAATACTCCACATTTACGTCACCAGCAAGAAATTTGTGACCAAAGCTATCAAGACCTGTATGTAATTGGTGAAAATTCCCAGACCAATGTCCCGCGATCAGACCTTTCAAATAACAGAAATGAGACAAAGAAATGTTTCTATTGTGGGAAACCGGGTCATTTTAAAAATAAGTGTAGAAAACGCCAGTATGATCTACAATCGGGAAAATTAAACATTTCCTCCCAAAGAATGAACGACAAACCAAACTTTGCGGAGAGGTCCGAAACCTCTGAGATTATGCGTGCACGTGATTGCGCTAACGGTCCTTTAAACGACCAGAGGCTGAGCCTGTAGGTCAAGTCTCAGCCTGTGATGCTAAAACCCAAACTTGTGAACCGAATGACAATGATAGACCTAAAGAGCAAATATTTGAAATCAAAGAGGCCCGCAGTGATAGTTTATTTGTTGTTGCAAAATTCAATGATAGAAAAATAAATTGTTTGATTGATACTGGAGCCTCAGTTTCTGTGTTACATAGACGAATTTTTGATGAAATTTCGGGGGGTGTAAAACCGAGTTTGAATAGGAATTGTGGGAAATTGAAAGTGGCTGATGGTGAAATGATTACCCCGGCGGGAGCCGCCCAGATGACTTTTGTTATTGATGGTAAACCCTATAGCTATAGGATGTTAGTAGCCGATATTGAGGTACCCGCGGTACTAGGATATGATTTCCTGAGGGACAATAATTGTGAAATGAAACTTGGTGAGGGTACGCTCAAGTTAAATGGTGAATCGGTTAGTTGTAAACTTCACAGCCAAATTCAGACTCTATTCAAACTGTCGTTGACTGAAAATGTAGTGATACCTCCGTCGAGCGAAATGATAATTCCAACGAAAATTTTGGGTGATCAGCCATTTGGGAAAACGGCTGTTGTTACGGATATAAGTCCATCTGTGTCAAAGAAAGGAATTCTAGTCGGGAAAAGTGTTTTTGACCCAAATAAATCTGAAATACCTGTGCGTGTTGTCAATGTTTCTGATACTCCACAAACCATTTACAAAAATACGGTCACGTCAGAATGTGAGGTGGTTCTTGAGAGTGATGTAGTATCATTTCAAAATCAATCTTGTGATAAAATGAATGCGCATACTTTGAATAACCTTGACCTTTTAAAGGTACAAGAGGACAACGTGTCTGTTCCTGACCATATCAAAGTTGTTCTTGACTCATGTAGAGACAATTTAAGCGATGTAGAATTGAAGAAAGTGTGCAATCTTCTGCGTAACTATTCAAGTGTGTTTGCAACCTCTAAAGACGATTTAGGAGAAACAGATTGTGTTTTACATAAAATAAATACGGGTCAAGCTCGTCCCATAAAACAAGCCCCTAGACGTATACCCATAAATCAAAAAGAGGAAGTTTCGACGGAATTGAAACGAATGTTAGATGTTGGTGTTATCAAACCCTCAAAATCTCCTTGGGCTTCCCCTATTGTCATTGTGCGCAAATCAGACGGCTCCATACGATTCTGTGTCGATTACCGTAAAGTCAATGAAGTCACAATAAAAGACTCTTATCCTCTGCCCAGAATCAATGACTCCTTAGACGTTTTACGCGGATCTTCGTGGTTTTCTGTACTTGATTTACAGTCAGGTTTCTGGCAGGTAAAAATGGATCCGTCGGACCAAGAGAAAACAGCTTTTGTAACAAATAGCGGACTATACGAGTTTACCAAAATGCCCTTCGGTCTTTGTAATAGTCCCGCGACTTTTGAGCGACTCATGGAGAGCGTTCTAGCTGGATTACAGTGGGAGACTTGTCTTGTTTACATCGATGATATCATCATCTTTTCTGATTCCTTTGAGACCCATTTAGATCGTCTTGGTGATGTTTTGAAACGTATAAGTCATGCTGGACTTAAGATATCTCCAAAGAAATGCAATTTGTTTCAAAGAAAGGTCAAATTTCTAGGACATATAGTGTCTGAACATGGCATCGAACCATGTCCCAGTAAAATTGAAGCAGTCAAGAACTGGCCCATACCCTCTAATGTGAAAGACCTAAGAAGCTTTCTTGGAACCATTTCATACTATCGCCGTTTTATCAAAGGATTTGCTGACATTGCGAAGGTTTTGCATAAATTGACCGAGAAAACAGCCCTGTTCAGATGGACCAAAGAATGTGATATTGCTTTTCAGCGTCTTAAATCTGCTTTAATGACAAAACCTATAATGTCCTACCCAGATATGTCCAAGTCATTTATATTAGATACCGATGCTAGTGGTACAGCTATCGGCGCTGTTTTGTCCCAGGTTCATGAAGACGGAGAACATGTTGTTGCATATTATAGCAGGTGCCTGTCCAAGCATGAGCGACAGTATTGTATTACCAGGAAAGAGCTCTTAGCTGTTGTTGAAGCGATTAAGCACTTTCATTACTATTTATTTGGAACTAAATTTCTTGTTAGGACAGATCATGGTGCTCTTAGCTGGTTACGACGTTTTAAAAATCCTGAGGGTCAGCTAGCTAGGTGGATCCAAGTTCTCGATACATACAACTTTGATATTCGGCATCGTCCGGGAAAACAACATTCTAATGCTGACGGTTTGTCTCGTCGACCATGCATGTCTTGTAAATTTTGCGAGAAACAAGAAGACAAAATCACTCATTCCAGTGAAGCTGTTGTTCATGTGTCAACCCAAACTTCCTGTCTGGACTACGAATCAGTCGATGATCAGCATCAAGTCAATACCATGTCTACAGTGGAAGCCAGTTTAGTTTCAGGGGAGTCCGACGACAACCTTTCTTGGTTCCAGTCCAAGTCCAATGATGAACTCTCACAAGCCCAGAGACAAGATCCTGTTCTGAAACATCTCTTCTCCCTGAAAGAAAAATACAAAGATGAACCCCCTAAGTGGCATGAAGTTTCTCACCTATCCCCAGCCCTTAAATCATATTGGTCACAGTGGAAAAGAATTGAAATTGTTAATTGTGTTTTATACAGAAGATGGGTGGATGTTGAGAAAAATTCTGAAAGATTG